GGGAGATATCGAAACATTGTAAGAAATGAACGTATATGCAGAATTTGTAACTCTGAAGATATTGAAGACGAATACCATTTTTTGTTCATTTGTCCATTTTATCAAGTTTTAAGAGAAAGACGTATAAAATTGTACTACTGGAAAAAACCATCTGTTTTCAAGCTGATTCAATTATTAAGCACAACGAACGTTAAAGAATTAACTATGTTAAGTAAATATATATATGATGCCACCCAGTTGAGGAATAGCATGATATAATGTTAAAATATATGTAACTACATGCATTTTTTGTCCATTCTCCACTGCGTTATTGCAGTGTCTGCCACTGTATTTATATGTATTGTGTACATACTGATGAGCTGTAAAGCTCAAAGTCAATAAATGAATTGAATTGAATATTGCCGTGGTTTAACTTTTGGAAGGCCAGAGAACGCAGTTAGACCCATTTTATTGTATTTTTTTCCACGGCCAGCCCCTTTAAGGCAGTGTTTACAAATATACAAGGTGTATGTAAATATAATGCATTGTCACTTATTGTGATTTTAAACAGTTGACAAATTGACTATTGTACCTCCATCTTGTACTGATTGTATGCACACCCACCAAGTATTCTACCTATTTTCTCTTACCCTGGACAGGTGTATCCACACCTTTACCGGTGTGAGATTTCCTTGTCTCACCCTAGGGTTGAGACGGGGGGATTCCCCTATTCATAACAATGGTATGACGTCATGTCAACAATCCATAAACGTCACGTCAACCCTGAATTTAGCATGTAATATAATCTTATCATTACACTGTGTCTATGATACACATTGGGAGAACATGGTAATAGAAAAAGAATCATTCACCCCTTTGTGGGTAAGATAGAGGAATCTCAACCCTCTGGGAAAGATTCTTAAGTTATACCCCTCAGTCCCCCTCATCATATACATGTATATATACCCCTCAGTCCCCCTCATCTTGTACATGTTCACCCCTCAGTCCCCCTCATCATGTACATGTTCACCCTCAGTCCCCCTCACAATGTACTTGTTCACCCCTCAGTCCCCCTCATTGAGTACATGTTCACCTCTCAGTCCCCCTCATCAAGTACATGTATACCCCTCAGTCCCCCTCATCATGTACATGTTCACCCCTCAGTCCCCCTCATCATGTACATGTTCACCCTCAGTCCCCCTCATCAAGTACATGTATACCAATCAGTCCCTCTCATCTTGTACATGTTCAACCCTCAGTCCCCCTCATCAAGTACATGTATACCCCTCAGTCCCCCTCATCAAGTACATGTATACCCCTCAGTCCCCCTCATCAAGTACATGTATACCCCTCAGTTCCCCTCATCAAGTACATGTTCACCCCTCAGTCCCCCTCATCATGTACATGTTCACCCTCAGTCCCCCTCATCAAGTACATGTATACCCATCAGTCCCTCTCATCTTGTACATGTTCAACCCTCAGTCCCCCTCATCAAGTACATGTATACCCCTCAGTCCCCCTCATCAAGTACATGTTCACCCCTCAGTCCCCCTCATCA